GTGCTTCACAAACCCAGATGGCACAGTCTGCTATGCACCTAGGCTATATGGTATGACCTTTTGTTCCTAGGCTACAAACCTGTACGACTTGCTGCTGGGCTGAACATCGTGGGCAACCCTAACACAATGGTAAATATTCATGTACTGTACATAGAAAAGCTACGGTAAAAATATGATATAAAATACAGTATAGGCCAGGCACAGTGGCTCACTCCTGCAATCCTAACACTTTGGGAGGCCAAGGCAGGTGGATCACTTGAGGTCAGGAGTTTGAGACCAGCCTGGCCAACATGGTGAAACCCTGTCTCTACAAAAAATGCAAAAATTAGTTGGGCGTGATGGCAGGCGCCTGTAATCCCAGCTACTCAAGAGGCTGAGGCTTAAGAATCACTTGAACCCAGTAGGTGGAGATTGCAGTGAGCTGAGATCGTGCCATTGTTCTCCGGCCTGGGCAGCAGAGTGAGACTGTGACTCAAAAAAAAAAAAAAACAAACAAAAGAAAGAAAAAAGAAAAAAAAAAAACAGTATAAAAGATAACAAGGAAACTGGTACACCTATATAGGGCACTGCCACAAATGGAGCTTGCAGGACTCGAGGTTGCTCTGGGTTAGTGAGTGAGTGAGTGATGAGTGAACATGAAGGCCTAGGACATTACTGTACATTACTATAGACTTTATAAGGTACACTAAATTTATAAAAAATATTTCTTTCTTTTTTTTCTTTTTGAGACAGAGTTTTGCTCTTGTTGTCCAGGCTGGTGTGCAATGGTGTGATCTCAACTCACTGCAACCTCCACTTCCCAAGTTCAAGCAATTCTCCTGCCACAATCTCCTGAGTAGCTGGGATTAAAGGCACCCTCCACCACGCCTGGCTAATTTTGTATTTTCAGTAGAGACGGGGTTTCTCCATGTTGGTCAGGCTGGTCTCAAACTCCCGACCTCAGGTGATCCACCTGCCTTGGCCTCCCAAAATGGACTTATTTCTTTAATAATAAATTAGCCTTAGCTTACTGTAACATTATATAGTTTTTGTTGTTGTTGTTGTTGTTGTTTGTTTTGTTTTGTTTTTTTGAGATGGAGTCTGTCACCCAGGCTGGAGTACAGTGGCATGATCTCGGCTCGCTTCAACCTCTGCCTTCCGAAAGCAATTCTTCTGCCTCCTTCTCCTGAGTAGCTGGGACTACAGGCACGTGCCACCACACCCGGCTAATTTTTGTATTTTTAGTAGAGACAGGGTTTCACCATATTGGCCAGGCTGGTCTCAAACTCCTGACCGTGTGATCCGCCTGCTTCAGCATCCCAAAGTGCTGGGGCTACAGGCATGAGCCACCGCGCCAGGCTTTAAAACTTTTAAACTCTCTTGCAATAGCACTTAGCTTAAAACGCAAACACGTTGTGCAGCTTTTCCTTCTTTCTATTTTTTGAGACAGAGTCTTGCCCTGTTGCCTAGGCTGGAGTGCAGTGGTGCCATCTTGGCTTACTGCAACCTCTGACTCCTGAGTTCAAACGATTCTCCTGTCTCAGCCTCCCAAGTAGCTGGGATTACATGCTTGTGCCAACATGCCCGGCTAATTTTTTGTATTTTCAGTAGAGACGAGGTTTCACCATGTTGGCCAGGCTGGTCTTGAACTCCTGACCTCAGGTGATCTCTGCCCACCTGGGCCTCCCAAAGTGCTGGGACTACAGACATGAGCCACCTTGCCCGGCCCTCTTTTTTTTGAAGACAGGGTCTCACTCTGTCACCCAGGCTGGAGTGCTGTGGCACAATCATGGCTCACTGCAGCCTTGACCTCTGAGGCTCAGGTGAACCTCCCACCTTAACCTCCGAAGTAGCTGAAACTACAGGCGCATACCACCATGTTCAGCTAATTTTTTTATTATTGGTAGATACAAGGTTCTTGCTATGTTGCCCAGGCTAGTTTCAAACACCTGGGCTCAAGTGATCCTTCTGCCTCAGCCTCTCGAAGTGTTGGAATTACTGGCATGAGCCACCACACCTAGCCCATTTTATTTCTTTATATCCTTATCCTGTAAGTTTTTTCTATTTTCAAAATTTTGTTGCTGTTGTTAAAAACTAAGACACAAACACACACATTAGCCTGGGCCTACCCAGGGTCAGGATCATCAGCCTCACTGTCTTCCACCTCCACACCTTGGCCCACTGGAAGGTCTTCAGAGGCCATAACATGCACACAGCTGTCATCTCCTGTGATAACAGTGTCTTCTGCAATACTTCCTAAAGGACCTGCCTGAGGCTGTTTTACAGTTAACTTTTTTTATTAAGTAGAAGGAGTATACTCTAAAATAACAATAAAACATACCGTAAATACATAAACATAGTTGTTTATCATCATTATCAAGTGTACTGTACATAATTGTATGTGCAATATTTTTTTTGAGACAGAGTCTAGCTCTGTCGCCCAAGCTGGAATGCAGTGGTGCAAACTCAGCCCACTGCAGTTCCCGGGTTCAAGTGATTCTCCTGCCTCAGCCTCCAGAGTAGTTGGGATTACAGGCACCCACCATCACATCCAGCTAATTTTTGCAATTTAGTAGAGACGTGGTTTTGCCATGTTGGCCAGGCTGGTCTCAATCTCCTGACCTCAGGTGATCCACCCATCTCAGCCTCTCAAAGTGCTGGGATTACAGGCTTGCCTCCACGCCCGGCCTGTGCTATACTTTAATGTGACTGGCAGTGCAGTAGGTTTGTTTACACCAGCATCACCACAAACACATAATGTGTTGCGTTACGACTTTAGGATCGATACAAGGTCACTAGGTGATAGGAATTGGTCAGCTCCATTGTAATCTTATAGGACCATTGTCTTGACCCAAATGTAATGCAGTGCATGACTATATGGTGGTAGGTGCTAAGTGGGAAATAAAACAGAGTAAGGGGACAGAGAGGATAGAGGGTGGTCAGGGAAGGTCTTGTGGCTGTCTGAGGGAAGAGCATTCCAGGCAGAGGGCACAGCAAAAGTCTTGAAGGGACAATGTGCTTGGGGCATCCAAGGAGCCTGGAGGAAGTCGTTTATGGAAACTCTAGAAACAAATGAGGTCCAACCATAGGAAGGCTTTCAGAGCAAAAGCCAGATCCTGTCACTCCTCGGCCAAAGTCCTTGCAAGACCCCATGCAGTTGGCCTCCCTCCTACCCTCCCAGCTCCGCTGTGCTCTGTCCACACTCCCTCAGGGCTGTGGCTCATTCCTGCCTAAGGCTTTCCCCTAACTCAGAGGGCCTCAACCAGAATCACCTGCAGGGCTTACTAAAACACAGATGCTGAGCCCCATTTCTGATATAGAAACTAATTTGTGTCTGGAGTGGGGCCCTAGATGTGTATTTCTAATGGGGTCCCTGGTAATGCTGACACTTTGGGACTTGTTGCTACAGTTTTAGAAGTACTGCTCCAGCGTTCCCTCTGCTGATACTGCTTTTTTTTTTTTTTTTTTTTGAGACAGAGTCTCACTCTCATCCAGGCTGGAGTGCAATGACTCGATCTCAGCTCAGTGCAACCTCTGCTGCCTGGGTTCAAGCAATTCTCCTGTCTCAGCCTCCCGAGTAGCTGGGGTTATAGGTGCACACCACCATGCCCAGCTAATTTTTGTGTTTTTAGTAGAGATGGGTTTTCACTATATTGGTCTATTGGTCAGGCTGGTCTCAAACTCCTGACCTCAGGTGATCCTTTGCCTCGGCCTCCCAAAGTGCTAAGATTACAGGTGTGAGCCACCGTGCCCAGCCTTTTTTCTTTTTTTTAAATAGAGTCTCACTTTGTCACCCAGGCTGGAGTGCAATGGTGCCATCTTGCCTCACTGCAACCTCTGCCTCCTGGGTTCTGGCGATTCTTCTGCCTCAGCCTCCTGAGTAGCTAGGAGCCAGGTGCGCACTACCACACCTGGCTAATTTTTGTATTTTTTTTGTACAGACGGGTTTCACTCTGTTGGCCAGGCTGGTCTCAAACTCCTGGAATCAAGTGACTCATCCACTTCAGCCTCCCAAAGTGCTGGGATTATAGGCATAAGCCACCATGCCCAGCCCACTTTTGCCCCAAATACCCCATTTCTTTCAAGTCTCTGCTCAAACCCTGAGGTCTCAATGGGGCTTAGGCTGGCCATCCTTTGCAATACTGCAACCTGCTCCCTTCCACCCCTGCATCCAACATCTTTCCTACTCTATTTTTCCTTTTTTCTCCCCTTTTTCTTTCTCTTTCTTTCTTTTTCTCTTTTCTTTCGTTCTTTCCTTCTTTCTTCCTTTCTTTCCTTCTTTCTTTTTCTTTCCTTTTGTCTTTCTTTTCCTTCCTTCCTTCCTCCCTCCCTCCCTCCCTTCCTCTCTCTCTCTGTCTCTCTCTCTCTCTCTTTCCTTGGCTCAAGTGATTCTCCCACCTCAACCTCCCGAGTAGCAGGGACAAGTGCACACCACTCCCAGCTAATTTTTTATTTTTGCAGAGACAGAGGTCTCAAACTCCTAAGCTCAAGGGATCTGCTTGCCTCGGCCTCCCAAAGTGCTGGGATTACAAGCGTGAGCCACCTATCTGGCCTACTTGTTCATTTTTTGAGACAGGATCTCTGCCACCCAGGCTGAAATGCAGTGGCCCCATCATGGCTCACTGCAGCCTCCATCTCCGGGGCTAAGGTAATCCTCCTACTTCAGCCTCCTGGGTAGCTCAGACTACAGGTACATGTCACCATGCCCAACTAATTTTTTGTAGGGACAGGGTCTCACTATGTTTCCCAGGCTGGTCTTGAATTCCTGAACTCAAGCAATCCTCTCACTTCCGCCTCCCAAAGTGCTGGGATTACAGGTGTGAGCCACCATGCCCAGCCCAGAGTGACTTTTGAAAATACAGATTCTTATGATTTAAAAATATCCTCGGAGAGTCTGTGTCAGGAAGTTAGGGTGGGGCAGAGATTCTTTCTCAAAGCCCCCACTCACCCACCCCTTACCCCTCACATCTCCAGATAAGTGAGGTATGGCCAGGTTTAGGAATTTCTGTGAGAAGCCTTACCTGTAGAGAAAGCTTCAGGGGAATAAATTCCAGGGTGTAGCTTCTACACTTTGCAAAAATGTGGCCACACCAATGATATTTATCACTTCCCACAAGCTCTCAGGTTGACTAGGAAAGATCACCATCTCCCTTTCACAGAGCAGAAAGCTGAGGCCCTGGGGAATCAAGTGACACTCCCCACTCAACACTCAACAGTCACAGCCCGTTGGTAGTGGAGGTCACACCTCTGTGGGTGGCAGAGATATGATTAGAACTTGGGCCTCTGGCTGGGTGCAGTGGCTCATGCCTGTAATCCCAACTCTTTGGAAGGCTGAGGTGGCAGGGTCACTTGAGGCCAGGGATTTGAGATCAGCCTGAGACCCTCCTCACCCCCTGCTGCCCCATCTCTATTTAAAAAAAAATAAGAAGAAAGAGGAAAAAAAAGACCTTGGGCCTCTGAATTCTCACTCTAGGGCTCTCCCCTGTATGTCAACTGGATAAACTCAAGTTCCAGGAAGTCCCAAGGACGCCACGGCCGGGAGGAAGATCAGAGAAGGGAGAGTGTGTGTGTCAATGCGTGGAGGGCAAGGTCTGGGAGGCTGTCTCCTGGCCACGGGAAAGACTCCAGTTGCCCTAAGGCCTTGGAAAACACACGGCATTCACACGCTAACTCTGGCTGCCTGTGACCTCGGGACAGCCACTCTCTCTTTGTGTGCCTCTCCTTATCACCAAAATAGGGCTGATAATTCATGCCCTTCCCCCAACAAAATACTTGTAGAACGTAAAACATTCTAAAAGTCCAAGTTATTATTACTGTTATCAAGGGAAGGCCCTTCGGGACAGGACTTAAACAGCCTTTCATTCATCTGAGGGACACTTTTGAGCATCTACCACTGCCAGGTACTGTGCTGGGCACTGTATGCACATGCCCTCACTTACCCCTCACAAAGAGAGAGTGCTGCTGTCCTTCACCTTTTACAGATGAAGAAACTGAGGCTCAGCTGAGAGCTGCAATTCATTCCAGCATTAGTTCATTCACTCAGCTTTTACTAAAAGCCTGCTCTGGGCCAGGCTCTGGGCCAAGTGCTGAGAAGAAGAAGATGAACAAGTCCTTCAGGAGACATGCCCATAAATTACTTTAATAACAACTCAGTACATGCTTCAACAGACAAGGTGCGGTGGGAAGGAGAGGGGGAGCAACAGGCTCTTCTGGGGGTTATGGGGATGGACAGCTGACCTCCTGCAAGGACCCTGCACCACTAAGGTGCATGCACCCTGTGTAGCTGCGCAATCACAAAGGCTGGACTGGAGTCTCACTTGGATCAAGACCAGGAAGCCTCTTCCGCCACTGAGCCTTGGTCTCTATCTGGAAAGTTAACAGGTTGTGTGGGCCTGACATCCTGAAGCTCTTCGGGGGCCTAAACCTCTGGCCCGCCCACCCCGCCTTCTGGTCAGTTCAAGCTCGACCCCAGCCAAGCCTCGACTCCGAAGCCCAGAAGGCCACACCGAATCCCTCTCAAAGTGCCAAACACCCCGCCCCGGGGCAGTGCTCAGAGCCTGGGGCGGGGGCGGGGATCCAGAGGGGGCGGGGCCAAATCCTAGAAGCAGGCGTACGCGGCCCGCCCAGAAGCGTCTCGCCCAGCCAATGAGCGTCCGAGGGCGGGGAAGCCCCGCCTCTGGTTATAAGAGTACGCCGAGCCGGGGGACGCGGCGCAGAGGTTTGGGAGCGCTGCCGCGTGAGGGTCTTTGCGACTCGTAGCTGCGACCGCGGGGTGCGCTGGAGTGGGCTGGGCCGCGGCGCGAGTCGGGTTCGGTTTTCCTCCGCCCAGCCAAGCTGCAGGGATCGCACGGTGCCCGGGTCTCCCGCCGCAGAGGAGCCGCTGGCCCGGGCCGGGGGAGCCGGCGCTGACCACCGCGTGCTGTCCCCGCAGGCAGCCGGCCCGCCGCCATGGCTGACCACCTGATGCTCGCCGAGGGCTACCGCCTGGTGCAGAGGCAGCCGTCCGCCGCGGCCGCCCACGGCCCTCACGCGCTCAGGACTCTACCGCCGTACGCGGGCCCGGGCCTGGACAGCGGGCTGAGGCCGCGGGGCCCTCCGCTGGGGCCTCTGCTGGGGCCGCCCCCCCAACCCGGGGCCTTGGCGTACGGGGCCTTCGGGCCGCCGTCCGCCTTCCAGCCCTTTTCGGCCGTTCCTCCGCCGGCCGCGGGCAGCGCGCACCTGCAGCCTGTGGCAACGCTGTGCCCCGGCCGCGCGGCCGCGCCCCCCAGCGCTCCGGGAGGCTCCTCGGGCCCGCAGCCAGCGCCCAGCGCCTCAGCCCCGCCGCCGCCCGCGCACGCCCTGGGCGGCATGGACGCAGAACTCATCGACGAGGAGGCGCTGACGTCGTTGGAGCTGGAGCTCGGGCTGCACCGCGTGCGCGAGCTGCCTGAGCTCTCCCTGGGCCAGAGCGAGTTCGACTGCTTCTGGGACTTGGGATCCGCGCCGCCCGCCGGCTCCGTAAGCTGCTGAACGCAGCCGGGGCCCGACTGCCCGCCAGACACCCCACCCAGCGACTGCGCCCCGCGTGCGCTCTCCGCGACGGTGGAGGCGGCGGCTGTGTGCGCGGTGCCCAGCGCCGAGCTGGGACCCAGGCGTTCCTCCAGATCCTGCCTGCTGCAGGAGGACAGTTTGGCTTCACTTCTCTGACCCCAGCCTCTGCCGTCCAGTGAAGGAGACTGGACCAGCTTCAGCTTTCGGGCTCCGGTTCTTGGATCGTGTCCTTTACCCCTCGCCTCCGTCTCCCCTCAATCTGAGCCATTGCAGGCCTCTGCCTGCTGTCCCCTCTCTCCTGGGGATCAGGTTCCCAGAGCCACCATCTCCTGAGCTCCCACCCTGCTGCCTGGACCCTGCGGTTACTGGGCCTCCCACCTCAAGAAGGGGTAGTTTGTAGAGCCTGAACCCGTGGAGCAGTGCTCTATGTGGACTCCAAAACCAAAATAAAACTGGGTCACTTTACAGTCTTGCCGTTTTCATTTCCTTATCATCCTGAGTCCTGACTATGTTTAGCTTCCAAAGTCCCAAGTCTGCTGAAGACACTGGATGGCATGGGGGCCGCAGTGCCCAGGGGAGGAAACTGACAGTTTATTTCAAAAATATCTTGTGGATTGTGCAATTGTTGTGTCACAACCTGGAGGACAGAGGCTGCCGCTGGGTGGTGGGGTAACTGGACTTCCCACCTCTTAGGGTGGGGGGAGCTTGGTGCTCTGCCAGAGAGGAGCTGGGTGGCACCGGGTTCAGACAGCGTGGCTTGGACCCTGGCTTTCTCCCTTGCCCAAGACACCATCCGTTTAGATTTCTGAGGCTGTTTCTTAGAGGGAGATGGTCCTTGTCTCCTCAGGTAGTTATGCTGCCTTTAGCACAGTGCCAGACACCTGGGCAGTTCTCAGTAAGTGATGGCAATTATTCTACAAATTGGCGCTGGTTTTTTTCCAGGCCCTGTGTCAACCTGATACATGCTCTCATGGAATCACAGTCCAGGTGGGAGGAGGTGGGTTACAGGCCTGGAACTAAACTAATCTTGCTGCAAGGAAGACTATGATGAGTTCTAGAAAACAGTTCTAGGGGAAGATTGTACAGCCAGGACAACAGACCGGCCAACCAGGCACACCCAGAGGAGGGAGCAGTTAGCTATTAATAGTTGGGGTTGGGGTCAGTTCAGGCTTCAGGGAAGTGGTGACATTTGATGTGATGAACAGAGCCTTGAGTGATGAGTGTTTTTAGGAGTTAGAGAAGAGCCCGTTTCAAGGCAGGAAAGCACACAAATCCAAGGAATGTGTGGGGAAAGTATGGGGTGTCTAGAAGGGTCAAGAAAGGTCAGATGGCTTTACGACAACTTTGTGAGGCAAGCGCAATCCTCATTCTACAGATGAGGGATATGGAGTGTGCTCAGACCTGGCAGGATTTGGCCTGAGTCCTGAGCACCAGTGTGAGTTCCTGGCCACCCTCTGCTGCTCACTCTGGAAAAATCCCTAGGTGCTTCTGGGATGTGGGAGAAAAGCTGGGAAAGAGATTGAATGCAGGGAGGAGGCTGGGTCAGAGATGCCGCAGACCGTGCTAGGACGGTGGTGGGGCATTCTCTAGGAGAGCATGGATTCCAGGGACTCTGGAAAGGAACACCAGGCTGAGACCTTCTGTCCCCAGCAGTTGGGCTTGGCTGTCATGCCAGGCTTGTTTGTTGATGCGGCCCTCCACCAGCCTGTGTGTTCTCCCAGGCCACACTGTGCACTGAAGCTACCAGGATGGGCATGTGGGTGGCGACAGGAGGTGTTTGGCAAATAAGTAAAGGTCTCCCCTAAGTTCATGGAATTTCTAGGACAGGATGAAGAGAGAAAGAGAGGCTTCTGGGAAGGGACTGGCCTGAGCTCTGGGCTCATAGAGGGTGGCATTTGCCCCGGCTTTGCCTGGAACCCCAGGCCAGCTACAGAAACCACAGGGCTGAATTAGGACAGGAGGGTTTGGCCCTGAGCTGGACACTGCCCTGATTCCCGTCTCTCTGGGCCTTAGCTTCCACACCAGTAAAATGGGGCTAATATCCCTGCCCTGCTACATTACAAAGCAATAAACCTCACAATTAGTAAGGAACAAATTCAGAGATGGGTTGATAAGCAGTTGGTAAACTCCAAAGTGCTCTCCATATGGAAGGGATTACAATGAAAACCCCAACACCTGCCTCTTGCCAGAGTTAAGAGGGAAGCAGAGGAGGGAGTCCATCTGCTGAGCTCTTCCCTCCTTCATCCCTCCAAAAGAGACTGCTGACAGCAGACAGAAGAGTAGATGAGGCTGGGGCAGCCCACCGCCTGGATCCCCAAGTTCCTGACACTGTTTGGAGATTTCTTTTTTTTCTTTTTCTGAGATGGAGTTTTGCTCTTGTTGCACAGACTGGAATGCAATGGCACGATCTCATCTCACCGCAACCTCTGCCTCCTGGGTTCAAGTGATTCTCCTGCCTGAGCTTCCCAAGCAGCTGGGATTACGGGCATGTGCCATCATGCCCGGCTGATTTTGTAATTTTTCTTAGTAGAGATGGGGTTTCTCCATGTTGATCAGGCTGGTCTTGAACTCCCAACCTCAGATGATCCGCCCACCTCAGCCTCCCAAAGTGCTGGGATTACAGGTGTGAGCCACTGTGCCTGTTGGAGACTTCCGACCCTACCATCCCCGGCCAGGGGAAGAAAGAGTACGGGTAGAGGCAGTGGGGAGAGCAACGGGCTTGACACCTGCCCAGGCTGAAGTGCAATGGCACGATCTCGGCTCACCACCACCTCCACCTCCTGGGTTCAAGCGATTCTCCTGACTCCGCCTCCTGAGTTGCTGGGATTACAGGCATGTGCCACCATGCTGGATTAATTTTGTATTTTTAGTA